TGATTGAAATATTACTGCCGAAAGTAATGGGTAATAGGGATTGTTATAGCAGAGATTACAGGAAAATCGAATACGAATGAGAATTATAACCACAGGACCAACGTTAATGAAGATAATTATTATGACAAAAAATAGCCATTAAAAATGAAAATATTACGTCTATAGCACATAACAATAGAGATAATATTAATGTCATTACTATGATGATGATGATATTAATAAAGGTAATAATAAGAACAATAGTAATAACAGTAACAATAACAACAATGTCGATGATGATTATAATAACTACAACAGCAACAACAATAATCATAATGATAATAATAACAACAACAATGACAATGATCAATAATGATAAAAATGATTGACAATGATAATAATAATGATAATAATAATAATAATAATAATAATAATAGCAATAATAATAATAATAGTAATAATAGCAATAATAAAGTTGATGATAATGATCTTAGTAATGACAATGAAAATTGATGATAATAACAATAGTAGCAATAAGAATGGTGGTAATACTACTACTAATAATAACAATGATAATAAAAAAAAATATAATAGTAAAAGTAATAATGATAAATAATAATAATGATATGAAAAACAATGATAATTGTTTTCATCATCGTCATCACTGCAACAATAATGATAATAATAATGATAATGATAAAATATGATAATGATGATAATGTCGATGATAACGATAGTGATAACAATAAAAACAACAGCAACAACAAATGAAAGTATTAATGCTGATATTAATGATTACAATTATAATAATTTCAATCCTAGGGAAAGGAGTTGTAATAGCTGTATCATTAACAATATTCTTAGTGATCGTTGTAATAATAGCAGTTACAAAATTAGTGCTATAACACTAGTTGTGAGAGCAAAAATGTAAGTGGCTAAAAGAGAGTAGTACGCGACTTCTAACAGCAGTAGCATGGCAGGAAGCACAATGACCGCGATGGTAATAGTGGAGGTGATCATGTGACGTCATCAGCAGAAGGAGAATGGCAGTAACGACATAATGAATCAGTAAGGATGATAATGCCTGCAAGTCAGCACTGAGCCCCGACCATCTCGACCGGGGAGAGCTCAGCGGGGCGACGCGGCGGGAGCGTCCTCACCGCGAAGACGATTCTCGAGCTCGACCTACACATTTCCTCAGACTTCAGAGGCAAGATCTCAGTCCAGATGGCTACCTGTCCTGCGCCGCCATTCGACAGACGTCCTGTCTCATTCCCTTTGTGAGGCGGGCTTTTCTCTAAAAGATTTTACGTGGAGATAGTTCCCCTGACGTCTGGAAGCCGAGGTTCCTCCTCCCAAAGAGAAATGGCATCCCAGGTGTCCCTGCCGGCTCTCCCTTGATCGCAGTCTCTCCAATAACACTTGTCTTAAGCATTCTCTTTCTCGGGGCCCTTTCTCACCTAGAATTGTTCTGCTATCATTGAACAGGGAACGTTCTCTGAGCGCAGCAATTTTCGGCTGAAATATCTGTTTCTGTCCGATATCTGCAAACCATTTTTTATCGATAGTCATAATTTTGCATTTGGTTTCGCTTAAAGGAATCCCCAAGACGAGAGGGAGGACCTAACGCAATGCGAGCGAAACGTATCCTTATGTAGGCCTAGCGCGAGGGGCATCCACTCAGAGTTAAACGGCCGAAATGTTGATATTTGCTTGTTGATACAAACTACGAGGAGGGAGGAGGTATGGCAAGGGATGTCATAGAGGTAACGACAATACATAGTAGTGCCGGGACAGTCTGAAAATTCTTATAAAAGTTTGGGGACATGCTAAAGCCTAGCAACTAATGCATGACTTATGGGTGCGATATAACCTGTAGGGACTTAATCTGATATAAAGCCTCGTTCAATAGGCGGAGGGGCGTGGTATAACCTGTAGGACGAACTGCAATCTAGAATTTGTAATATGAGTCAAGGGAACGTACAGCATATTCTATAGAGGACATACACGGCTACCAATTGCCACGCGGTGCAGTCTGGGGATACGGCGTATAACCTGAGGACACGTATAGTAATCTAAATGACATATATAACCACAGAAAAAAACACACAATAACATGTTGAAAGGAGAATGAGATCTTTTGCAGTCTGACTGCTTGGAGGATAGCACGACGTCTTGATTTGCAATACTATTTTTTGCAGAACCACTTTAGAAATCAAGAAGCAGTAGCTTTATAATGACTTGTGGACCTGTAGAATTCTCCGAGAACCTGTGGAATATCTAAAGTACCTTAGCATAAAACCACGTTCGTTTGTCGAGTTTCTTGACAAACCCTGTCGTATGCTGGAAAAGTGACAGTGCAATGGACTTAATCTTATCAATAACTTTGTACAGCTGGGTGAAGCCTAATAACATTACTTTGAATAACAATTCCTATAAATATGCTAATACTACGCACTACACCTGAAGATTTCTTTGGAACCTATGTTAAGCACAATGAAGTGCGCTGGCCTACCAGTGGTGCGGCTAGTGTCGAGGTGCAGGTGCCACTTTGTACAGCCAGAAACGATGAGTCAAGATGCAATATCAGAGAAAAAAATCTAATGCATTCCTCTCGGTGCAGAAACTTTCAAAGTGACTGAATTATGAAATACACGAGGAAAAAATAATAACTGTAAATATGTAAAGACAATATCGGGCTGAGACCCATGTCATATCTCATCGTCTGAACTAGTACCTATGAACTGAATCAATTATCGGTCATTTTCATGAAAGACAAGAACAGTATATCAGGTGAAATTACTGAAATATATAGCCAGTCCCTAGAATAACTAGCTGTCAATATAGAAATGAAAAGAACTCACTAGAAAGACAGAAACTATCTACAACCTCATATTACTTAACTGATAACACATTATGTAAAAATAAATGAATATTTATAAAGCTGTATTTACACGTCACTGGGTTTGTTAAAGAGGTAAATCATCCACACAACATCCTGAAAGGTTGTTGAGGCGAGAACAAGAGGTTAGTGTGTTAGTACCTGAGGAAGAGGCGACGGGGGCGGGGTTCACGGTGAGAGTGGAGCCGGTGTTAGTGGGGCGAGGGTGGCGCCGGTAGAGGGACGTGGCGCTGCCGGAGCCCGAGGACGCCCCTGAGCCTCCCACCTCCCGCCCAAGGTCGCGCTCCACCGAGCCGTGGGTGCTGCGCCGCCCACCCAGGTCACCCGCCTGTTTCAGCACCTGGTATATCAGGTCCACTTCCTCCGTCTTGTCTATAACAACACAACAGTGGCATGCTGTTAGTGCACACTCCCCACACGGCAGCCGCTCCTCGACGCCCGGCTCGTACCATTATGGCCATGACAAACAAACAACGACTGGACGCGCGGGTCTGACAAAAGGAAAGCTGTAGGTGACTTGTGTAAAGAAAAGAACAGTTTAATGGAGAACTCAAAATTACTCAAGAATTTATAAAACAATATTTTTTTTTGTCAAGGAAGAACGAGGAGTATGGCACTAAAGCGACGCCTTTTGTCGCTGTGTCCATACATATATACTTACGGATTCAACTTACGTATTCATGACTCTGACCCGGTCATTCCTGTATAACCTGTACTCAGTATGAACCAGAGGGAAGGAAATTATGACTTTTGGAAATGTAATATGTACAGAAGAATCAATTCGCTACTGTGACAATGATGTGCAGCGAAGGAAAATGGAAAGTGTGACATCTAAATAAAAAAAGAGTATGTACAATGATGTACTTAATAAAATGCTCACTCTCTCATCTCTCCAAATACAGATGAGAACGTCTCCGCCACGGACACGGGACAACAGCTCTACCGGCTGCAGCAAGAACAATACTCAGCTACATTACGACAACATCGACCTGCAAGCCTCACCTGACCCGCACTGTGTCGTGCTGTACAAGCGGGCGATTTTCGGAGCTTCAACAAATAACAACAAGAAGTATACTAAGTACAATAAGGCTTTCTAGTGATATTTACCCATTGGAAATGTGTCACTGCTAAGAAGAGACAAGTGAAAATAAAAGAGAACAAGTAAATTAAATGAGTAAACACTATTTTGCCATTCCAATGGGAAGAAACCAGCTCTTGTGATGGAAGTATTAGAAGTATTTTGTTGCCTTAAAAAAGAGACTGAAACACTGTTCATGCAACTGTTCTCCATATCGTCAACAACCTTTATATACACATCACTACGACAGACAACACAATAAGAGCAGTAACTATACAGGACGTGTGGAAAGAGAACAAAAAGGAATTTGAGTCGACATGCATCAGCCCCCAGGTCGTCTCCCTTCTCCTTCCTTCGTTCCCGGACTGGATCTCCCTCAGACAGGAGGTAGACAGGTAAGAGGGCGAGGTGGGTGAGTGAGGGTGAGGGCGCCATGCGAGGGAAAGACAGCTCGTGGGGGTATCGCTCCCTCTCTCCTCCTGCGAGTCTAGTTTAGCAGTTGCTTTTGCTCTTGATTCCTTGTGAGTGACACCTACACTGGGGTGGGAAATGCCGAAATAAAAACACCAGGTGTGTGAGTACTGGATATTCATGCTTAACTCTGAACTCTTCTCTCTTTTGTGTCAGTCTGAGCCTATAACTCATCGACGTTTGAAAGTGAGGTCGCTCATATTTATCCCCCATTGGTGCGTTATTTCGGCATTTCAAGGTGCGTCTTCCACTACGAAAATGTCAACTCTTTTAAAACCCTCTAGAAGGTTCCGCTGTTACGTGAGTGTGGGAGAAAGAATCCTTTGATTTCTAATGAAAAAATAACAAACCTATTAGATTTGGGTCACATAAAAGACACTTCATTCAACAAAACTGTTACGAACAATATATCTCTTGGTCAGATCTACTACAGTTGTACAACTACACTAGGGAAATTTCCTCTCGTTTGCTAAACTAGACTCAACACGTGCGCGTAACTAGTACAAGTTAGACGTGTAAGGGTCTTGGACGCAGGACACCTCCATTCGCCCAACAAGGATCCGCAAATACCTATTTGGATCTCCGTGGCCGCACTAGAGGACGCAGGTTCCGCGCCCCGGCGGGCAGGCTGGCTGGCGATAAGCGAGCTGAAGCTGATAGTGGGCTCGTCTGTAAGAGACGGTGGAGCTGTGTTACATCTGACAGTGCCGTGGGACAGACGTGGTGTCGCGGAGGTCACAGGCGGCGGGGCTGTCTCAACAGAGTGCCTACGGGCTTGGCTGGAGCTGTGTTTTGGACAATGAGATCCCCAAAGTTTAGAACTGCTGCCGGGCAACGTAATACCTTGTTTAAGAGTAAATAATGGAGAGTGAAATTATGAAGAGTCAGTGCCTTGGAGTCCTTGTCTTGTGAGGCGAACGTCCCCGCACTCCACCCGGGCCGGGCGAGACAGTCACCAGAGTGGAGCTTAAACACAGAGCACATTTACCACTGGACATTGCTGGCTGTATTGGGCAGTTAAGCCTACCTTGACCGTTGTAAGAGGCAGTTTCTTACAAATACACATTCCTGACTGTGTGAAGTAGTCGTTATCATATAAACCAAGTCAGGATGAGAAAGATCTGAATGAAATCTGAAGACAGTTTGTGTTATGTTAGATGTAGTTTGGCATGTATACATGAAACCTTACCATATTGTTTGGAGTGAATCTTGAAGCGCGGGCGGCTGCTGCATATATCACATAAGCATTGAAGCTTGGATTAGCATCAGTGGCCATTCCCCTCCATTCATTACCAGCGCGAAACCCCGTCCGACACATCATCTCGAAAATGCCATTCAATTTGTCATTCCACACGCCCATGGACCCGTAATAAGAGCTTACGCAATCGCTATTCGTAAAAAGAATACCTGGGATTTTTCCAGTCGTCTTGTTATCTGATTTGATAAAAGTCTCGTACAGAAAAAAATAAAGTAAAAATAAGAAAATCGAGCATATTGAGCCACCACCATGAAACAAAGGAATGAAAACCTTGTTATCAACCATTAGCAGGAGTGGTTGGCGCGTGTACCGCCCTTGTCACTGGCTCTTGTGATGAGTGCCACTGCAGATATTTAAGGCTGTAATTACCATCTGCTGTACCTGACTATTGGCGCACTTGGCTAGTAATTTGTGGCTTTGGATGGGATTACTGAGTGTAATTGCCTATTGCCAATGATTGGTTGTAAGAACTTTAATTATGTTTAGATAAGTAAAAGTAATGTAATGAAGCTGATATTTCCGATGATGGGTATGTTTAATTTCCGATTGTATGTATGGCTCCGCTACTGGATGATCTAAATATTAAATCTTTCTTCACTTTATCGATTCAGCCAGCAGTCTGTTCTCGTGTACACATGTACGAGTCGATATGTGTGATATATTCAGCCAGCAGTTCAGTACGACAGCGCGCACCTACGACATGTTCCCGACTGTGTGTTCGCACTTCGTCCAACAATGTACCTAACTGTTCCGCCTCGTGTGTAAGATAACATCTCGGCATATGGTCACAGGAGCAGCTTAAAGTTGGCAGTCCGAGTCATGCACAGAGCGCCGCCCGGGGCAACGGAGACCTCGACTGGTGAGGATGTCATGCACGGCGGCGCGTGGGCCTCTGAGTGTCTCCTTTCTCATCTCTGTCGGGCGGCGCAGAGAGCAGTGCATGGCGGAAGGGATCCAGCTGTGCATTAACTCGGGGCCGGAAAAGAAATGAGGCTGCAGCGCAAGTTACATTCATCATTCTGGAATGAAAATACACGACCCGCCGTGTTTATTCCTGGCAAATGGCAAATTAAAGCACGAAAGTGAAAATAATGCTCGGCGCTACTTTGCGACGGAAGCTACAGATGGCTCTTGTAAGTAACCGGGGCTGCCCTGTAAGTATCTCTCGCCCGCAGGCCTGACATCGAGCCCACGGAGCGCGTAAAGGGAACCAAGAAGACGTGTAAACGATGGTAATAACGTGAGTGATACCAAGTAATCTGAGCTATGGATATTGAAATCAGGTTTACTACATGCCGCCAAAACGCGAGATTGACCGCACGCCTTTGCCGCCGACGCAAGTAAGCATTTACGCGTCAGGGTCGATAGGAATAAGGAAAATGCATTTTATGGCCGGGAGGCGATGAAAAAGTGGCCGCGTGAGTGACGCGAGGAAACCTGAAGGGGCTAAGGAACGATTACATGACAAAATATAAGTTATGTACGTCGCTGTTATTTCACGCTGAAAAATTCGTGAGCGGCGACGCGCATGCAGGCGGATGAGCGTTATATCCCCTCACCTGACTCCTGGAAAATAGACCTCAAAGCTACCATGTCCTTTTTGTACAGCTCTTTGAAGTTAGTCTCGCTGAGTCAGAGCCGGCAACCGGAATTATTAACTTACAGGTCACATATTTACCACCGCATGTGACGAGAAGCGAAGCGTGGAAGAAAATAACCATGTAGAAGTCACGGCAACCATAATGAACCAGGATCTTGAGAGCAGAAAAGAACCTCATACAATTATGTAACTTGATAACAGAAGAGTGCATCGCGGAAACATCACTAGAGAGATTATCGAGAAGATATACCGAACAGTACCATTACGAGGCCATTTAAGGAATTCTCTAGAAGGAACTCTTAAGTGGTAATCCTTCTTTCTGTAACGAACCAGGAACCTATCAAGTTTAATTAAGCAATGTATCCGCGTCGTACCATTTAAAATAGTGTGTAAAAAAATAAACTGCAGATCTCCCGAGCCACCAGAACGCAATAAACTTTACCCCCGAACCATAGTCACATCGTTATCGCAAAGGTTAAAGACTAAGCTGCCAGAAGATAACGCCACAGGCACAGGGGGATCAAGGCGGCACCCGTGATTGCCACCTGCAAAAAGTGCGGTCCATTGCCAAATTGCATGGCTGTCATGTGGCTAACAGGTTGCGTGTCGATAGGAATTGTGGTCCAGGTGTTGCTTCAATCAATAAACCGGAGCAAGCATAAAACCCAGGCTTGCCAAGCTGTGCTCAGCGGATTTCGCCAGGTGGCAACTCATCGACGGGGAGCTGAGTCGAAGTGAAGTCTTAAAAGCTGAATAAAATGTGTAATTTAAGGAATATTGTTGTTCATATTTTCGTTTGTACTTTACCTTGCCGGAGTCCTTATTCCGGATCACTCAAGGAAGGAACTTATCTTCACTGCAAATCACGAGTTGGCACCACTCGCCCCAATAACCAGGGAAATATGAACACAGATATATTTCCAATGTGTTTGTGGTAAGAACTAAACAAATAATTAACAATGAGAACCTAAAAAATGTAGATTTAAAGGGAAAGAGGACAAATTATCAATTCAATAAATGTAAATAAAGATATGAAAGTTATAGCCTCTGACAGGGGGCGTGACATAAACATGTTGTGAGGTATCATAGCGACAGTTTACTTGTGAATGACATATCCATTTTCTTGATTATCAATCTGATGAAACAAAGTCTTTATGCTATGACTCGACACATTTTCTTGTAATGACAAAAGCCTTGCATGATATACACTTAACAAGCATTGGCATATGACATACAGCCTTGCATTACATACAGCTTTGCTTGACATACACTTTGCCTACAGCATGGCAATCACACTACCACACTATATACCGAAAACGGTCTTCCCAGCGCCGAGGGAAGCAGCGCCCTCGCTCGCCCTCCGCGCCCTGAACATAGAACATTCCTCTCGACTCGCCAGCGGGGCGTCTGGCGCTCGGCGAGGCAGCTCCTCGCTCTAAACACTCGCCTCTTTACGCCATACATCGAGCCCCGCCCTCGGGTGGCCAGCCTCGCCAGGCAGGACAAGCTTAGCTAACCCTTTCCTAGTCCTGGACAAATCTACGGAGGACATGACACGGGAACAAAATGTACCAAATTTTTCAGTAAGTGGCAGCAGCTCATAAACAGCCAAAAATAACTAAAAAAATGTAAGACAGCAAAAAAATCAGACCTTTGAAATGGGATCTTCATATCTGAATCGAAAAGTAATTGCCAATTAGGAAATGAAAACAAAACAAAATGTGGAAAGTGCATTTTCATGTTGAATAGTACTGTCGAACTAATCGTTCGGATCAAAGAATGTGTAATGTGTAGCATGAAAAGAGTAAAAAAAAAAAAAAAAGGAAATTGAACCATAACTCGTATAATCTGAACGTGTTTATAATTCCAAGAACTGACGAGTTATGTGGTAAATCTCAATGAAGGCTATGATTCCAAGACCAGGAATTGAATGCGCTTTGCACGCACACTCTCTGCAAGGGACGGAATCACCCCAGCCCCGTTCCCGAAGCGAGTGCGTGCACGCGCGTGCGGCCGCGTGGCGACCCCCAAAACAAGACCGTCTACACTCACTGTCTTCTTCTCCGGCGTCCATCTGTTTGCTTTCGATCTCGGAGGTCGAGCGCTGACGTCGCAGGAGGCGGGACTTGGGCTGACACTTCCCCACCTGGTCCTGACACTCGGCGTGGACGTTCATTTTGCACATCCTGCACTTCAGGCCTTGGCGGGAGTGTCCTGCGGGGGAGACAGACACGGGTGAGAGGGCGGCGCGGGAATCAATGCATATGTATATACCACACACACGCACACACACACACACACACACACACACACACACACACACACACACACACACACACACACACACACAACACACACACACACACACACACACACACACACACACTCAAATGTAAACACATGTAGATATACATCAGAAAAGTAATATGACATAGCTGTATAAACAGATGTACCTAAAAGACAGCTACTATATATGATTAAGCAAACTCACACAAACAGTCGCGCACAGTCATGGCCTCGACAGGAAAATGGAATTACGTTCAGCAAAAACACAGAGGTTTAGGTGTTTAACTAATTCAGACATAAATAAATAGTGCACAAACGTAAGCAGAGTGTGTTATCTATTATGTATTCCATTTTCTCGGGATTTCCATATGATTCATGGAATATATCCTAAACGCTGGTGACAAAATATATAAAACAATTATTGGGAAGAAAATATGATTATATATACATATGTATATATATATATATATATATAATATATATATATATATATATATATATATATATATATATATATATATATATATATATATATATATATATATATATATATATATATATATATATATATATATATATATATATATATATATATAGACCACACACACACACACACACACACACACACACACACACACACACACACACACACACACACACACACACACACACACACACACACACGGACTCCAGAAGCCAAGTTAGAATAAAGACGACTGTTGGAATACATCCCAAATACTGTTGATAACGTGACAATCAATATGAAAACATAGATGAAAATACGATGCATATACCCAGAAGCAAAAAAAAAAAAAAAAAAAAAAAAAAAAAAAAAAAAAAATGGTTTCCCTGTTTTTTTTTTTTTTTTTTTTTTTTTTTTTTTTCTTTTTTCACCCAAGTCATCGTATTTCCCTACGCACTGTCCATAGCGCAGCGTTGTAACACCATACCGGTCGCTGAAGGCATTTGCGTTGGTCTCCTGTACGTTACGATGCTGCGTCCATTTCACTTGGCTCGAAGTGTTTACGACGGGATGTAAAGGCTGCACATATCTGAGGTCTCCAATCAGAGGAGGATTCTAACATACGCAGTCGCATTCTTTCTTTTTTGCCATTTCTTTCTGTGTCCGTCTCTCTATCGCTCGGCCTCTCTCTCTCTCTCGTTCTTTCTCTCTTAATTCCCTCTTCTCTCTACTTCCCAACCCCATCTTCTCTCTCTTTCTTCCTCTCATATCCGAAAATTCACATTTATCGGTCTTGTGAATCCGGCGTTTGGAAATATATCGAGCATACGGAACAACATACAACTGTTTTCACGCCAAAATCCGAATATTGCTTTCCGTATTTCGTCGGTTTCATCACCACAAAGAAATCTATTTTGTAGAAACGTTCCATGATTATAAACAGAACAGATACTTCAGAAGCACAGAAATGATAGCGTTTGGTGACCTTCACCAAATGTAATTTTACACTTGTAAGTTTATCTTTGCTTGTATTTTCTATGATGATTTTATTCATTATAAAATAATTTGTATATATATACACACGCTCACACTATATATATGTGTGTGTGTGTGTACTGTACATGCGATGCAGCAAACACCGTAGTACTTCCTCCATCGCCATTGCAACCGTAGCTATACCAGTGGCTACTGTCCTTCCCCGACCCCACCCCCATAAGCATTAGGTCAGCCAAGGGGCCTTCCTGGCGCTTTTTCGGGAGCTGTCCGTGGCCTCCGTTTAGGGCGAAGGAGGGATCGCGGGCCCAGGGAAGCGACCCTTGTCCCTAGATTAAGGGCTCTCCTAATGGCTGGATTTATCAACGGCGCCCACTCCGAAGGGATGGCCGGGTCGCGATTGCCCCCCCCCCCCCTCCCCTTCCCCTGGAGATAGACTCCTTATTTCAGGGCGCCTCCCCGACAATGGCAAGGGTGAGGGTATGCGGCACAAGTAGTAAAGCATCGCAATGGCAAGTACGCAGTGTGGACAATGAAGACAATGAAGGCAAAAATATTTAGAATTTTAGCATGTCGACATTCGATGCTATGCCTCATTGTAACTGAAAAGACGTAAACTACGATGTTCATGCGTGGACGGATGAAGGAACATTTTAGTATCTTACTCAGGATGTTGCCGAAGCGCCCAATATCGACGTCGAATCGCTCAGACGAACTAAACTCATTAAGCGAAAAAATCGCTACCTCAGCCTCCTAAAAAGCAGTCTCCATTCCTTTCACCAAAAATAAAGTAAACAAACACACGCCACAAGTCACCCCTATGCCTGGAGACTAGCCTACCGTCCTTCAAAACAAAGGTAATTTAATGACGGGAACGCCCATCAGGCAACAAACAGCTCCTAGCAAACTGTTTGGGAATTAGAGAGTATTGCCATGGCCTTTGCCGGGGTGGATATTTGGTGGGTCCGGCGGCCTCGGTTCTATATCCGAAATCTAGTCTCTCCCCTCTTCTTTTGACCCTCCACATAACGCAACTTCCCTCGACACATTCTACTGCTCTAATAATCGTACCTTTCCTTTCTTTTTTCTACTCCACTCCTTAACTCCCCTTCGCATCTTCACGACCTCTCCCAGACACGGTTCCATCCCACGCGCCTCCCCCCCCCCCCCGTAAATCATCCATCACCGAGAAAGGATATTCATATGGCCAGCCCCTCTGTCCCTCCCATTGACCGTATACACTAATCTCTTAATGATATTAATTAATCTATTAATTAACTAATAAATCCCACTAATCCCACTGACGCATAGAACGTGAAATCGCCAACCAGGCAACCCTCCCCATGTCACAATGCCATGGGCCAACCTGCTACAAAGCCGTATGACATCCCAAGACACCTCTGCAATGCAAAATACGTGATCCTGTTGATGCAAGAGATTCGCACATTCTTCCTCCGTCTCATCCACAACCGAAAAGAACGGCAAAGAAACAAAGGTATGCAAAGTAGAGGCGCCAATGGAATGGAATGCAAAATATCGGAACGGACCCTGTGCTTCCATCCCTGGTTTCTGTTATGATGACACAGAACAAGAAACGTGTGAACTTATGTTGATAATGAGGAAAAAAATGGGTGAACTATAGTAGAACCAATAAAGCAAAAAATAAAAAGAAGAAAGGTACATTGGTCAAAGGGTACAAGAGTCACCCAAATTGGAAGTTCTACACACCTACCAAGTAAAGTTCCGCGGAAACATGGTTGAAGTCACAGAAAATCCCTTGACCGTTAGTTTCCTCGAGGTGTGTGTGAATGCATTCGAAACGCAAATAAGTCACCTGTTAACTTTGCCGTGCAAGATAAATAAGCTTTTGAAACCAGATATGTTTCCTGGCCCGTGGAAAGTATCCCCTACACGGAAATCGGTGTAAAATCTCAGAATCCGTCCAGCAGGATTTTTGGCGCTAAAAACCAATCAACATCAACGTCCATCAAGGCAAGGCGCAACAGGACTCCTCCTAGCATCAACCTTGCAAATGCTTGTTGCTTCAGAAATAAAGAAGACGAAAATAACACACACGAAATACAACCGGTACTGCAGGAACTACCTTTAAGACGCTTTCAAAACGCCATTCTAGGTCGCCGAACCTTATAAAGAAAAGGCAAGAGAGCAGAAAAGAAAGCGGCTTCAAAGGCTGGATCTCGCGCAACACTCTAAATGCATCAGTCCGCTCGACGACGACCTTGAAACTTTACGGCTCGCGGCTCGGCCCAGATGTCCGCCTCGGGAAATCAACGTACTACCCTTGGATATATTTCCCACTCAGAATACTTACCCAAGAAGTCCTTACCTCCCTCCCCCACCCTCCTCCTCCTCCTCCTACACACACTCTGGGACTGGAGTGATCATCTATCGTCGCTCTGAGGACCCTAAGGATACCTAGTCTACGTCGTCGAACGGAGCAATACTCGTACAAAGAATTAATAACTAAAAGCTTCGGGAGTTTGGGTCATGGTTGCAGCATCATGACAGGGCTGAGATATTCGGTTCCTGACGAATGCAAATACCTGCAATTGTAGATATAAGTCTGATGACTTTTTAAAATTTATTTATTTATTAAGAAAGTCGCCCACCTACACGGTAACAAGAGGAAAAAGTTTAATCTGGCAAGAGAAATAGTGATAATAGATATATGAATTAATAAAAAAATGGATGATAAAAAAGGCTCCAAGATGTAGTGAATAAACACAAGATACATCAAATTTCGTCAAGAAAACATCCTTCTAAGACTAATGCAGGCGGCCACCGACACTTTATTAATTATTTCACCTCAAAAGCAGAAAAGTAGAAAGTCCTTTTCCACTACACCATCCTTAATTAAGGGGAAAAATCCCTAGGATTAACGAGGGTAAGGTGACATCTTCATCAACTTCTGCCATAGAGGTCGAGTAAAAAGCCAGATCCCTCATAAAGTCGACCTTCATGGCAGTCTTCCTCATTAGTCCTCACCCCAATGTTATTCCTGATATCCTGATGATAGTAAATGAAGATTCTTCATTAAAATTTAGCAAAGTATTTGGCGATATAACCCTAATACTTGCACGCAAACCAACACCTTACTGCAAGATTTCCTTAACCATACATCAAGGAAAGTATATGGGAGTGAAATTATAACGTAGTGGATGATCCAACAGTGAAAACAATTCGAAAAATAGATGAGAAACCCTTGAGTCGTGGCGCTGTGTGAAATAGGAAATGGTTCACTGACACAAATACGGGAAGTAGTTTTATACGTTATCGCAAGTAAAAATATCTGAAGCATTATACTTCGCTGACATACACAGTCGCATTCTTTCTTTTTTGCCATCTCTCTCTGTCTCTGTATCTCTCTCTCTCTCTCTCTCTCTCTCTCTCTCTCTCTCTCTCTCTCTCTCTCTCTCTCTCTCTCTTCTCTCTCTCTCTCTCTTCCTCTCTC